CGAATCGATGATGTCAGAGCGCAAGCTAAACGACGATACGATGCTCGCCATGCTAGTCCAAAGATCTACAAGCCAGGTGACCTAGTGCTAACAACGGACGAGCCGATAAGTACAGGTACCTCCCGGAAATTAGAACACCGTTACAAAGGACCATTCATAATCCGCGAAGTCCTTCCAAACAACCGGTATGTGATCGAAGATTTACCACATGCCCAGCGAACGCAATGCCATTACACATCAGTATTCGCATCAGATCAGCTAAAACTTTGGTGTATATTACCACCTGATGATTTCGACGACGATGACTGTATGGGCGACACTTCGGGCGAGGGCGCTCCGAAAGGTCGGAAAGCCGGCTGTAAGCGATGGTAACGCAGACACAGCTGTCAGAATCCAGCGAGTGAGTAGACAGACTCGAGAGAACGAAACGTGCCGCGGTATCAAGAACATCGGGAAATACTTTTATACTTTCAATTTATATTTTTCATAATCATACTATGTCATTCTTAATTTAAATAAATATCAATTCATTTGTTGTAAAATTGAGTGTCCCGGTTCACAATTTGGTGTGTGTGCCCCGAATGGCATTCGTGCGTCTCGCGAAGTAGGTGGATGACAGGAAAAATACCCCTGAAATACCCAGAAACCACGACAGTTTGGAACAAAACTGTACATCATGGCAATGGCACAACGCTTGGCAGATACTACGTATGGTACACACGTGCGGGAATCCAACCGAATTTTCGGCATGGTCACGGATTATAGAAGCCCCAACCACTACCAAAGTCTCCAGTGTCATAGACCGGAAGCGCATCCTCGAGGAGAGAGGGGAGGTGACGCCAACCCCCACTTCTTCGGAGTGGGAAGAGGACCAATCTCTTGTAGCCGACGTTGGTCGAGAAGCAGCTAGCTGCGAGCGACCTTCCTATAATGAAGTTGGTCCTCTTTAACAAACCCAGATGAGGAAGCGAAGGAGGAAGAATCGTGGGCGAAACGCAAACAGGGAAACCCTCTTGTGCGGCGGCCCAAGTCTACGGAAGTTACTCCAGAAGCCAGTGGGACCTTGGCGGATGCAAGAGAAGGAAAACTGCCGCGACACCCACCAATGCCTACCAGAATACCTCTTCGAGTCATAGTGTGGCGGGTACTGGAGTGCCATTGCCCGTTTCCGACCTTGCCTGACAGACCTCTGGCGCCACGAAACCCTCCCTAAAACCCAGCGGTGATGTGATGCAAGGGTTGGTCGAGGCGGAACTGTCTTCGCTAAGCCCTCGAAGCATCAAAACCTTCCAACTACGTCAGGAGGTCTTGGTGCTCGACCTACTTATTGTTAAGCTGTGAAAGGCCCTCTGCTCATTGCGCTAATTGGGAGGCCGGGTTCGCCTCGGCAGATGACTACTGGAGAAATTAAGCACTGCAACAGCCATCTGATCTGGGTCGCCATTGCCTCCGGCACTGCAGCCAATGCTCATGGGTATGATGAGATATATGGAGCCTTGTCTCTCCCAAGTTAATTGGAATTGGCTCAAGGCTGTGGTACAAAGAATACCGCGCATAGGGGAACAGGTCTGCCTCTCAGGAAAGCGCTCTGCTGGATTCCAGAACCCGATCTGAAAAAGGCGAACGTGCTCTCCTACTTACGTGCCCTACATCCGGTAGCAACCGGGAAGGGAGAGTTGCTGCTGCTCTGGTTGTGAAGATATACCAGATACCCTTGGATCATGTTATGGAAATCGTTGAGTCTCTTTTACGGAACAATTTATTTCATAATTGTTTAACATATCAATGTTAAACTGCAAAATAAACGTTTGCCTAGAAACGTAGTTCTGATATTTTCCAGTACTTGGAAATTGCACAGGAATCGCTCTACCGTTTCTTTTGCATAGTTTAATCTGATAAACTACAGCTAACACAAAAAAGCGTTGTGTTTTAGTCACAATATTGCAACATGGGTGTTTTGTGGAAACGGCAGAAAGCGGCAGCTAAAATCATTATCTTTTCACTCATTTTGTGATGAAAATGGAAATCTGGGAGATACTATAGGGTGCAAATCGAAGACACAACATCGCGCTCTTTTCACGAAAATTCAGGGGTCGCTCAGGGTAGTATCCTTGGACCTCTTTTATTTATAATTTTTATCAATGACATAAGCTCGTGTTTCTTATTCTCCAAATTTCTTCTATATGCTGACGATCTCAAAGTTTATTCAGTTATAATGCGACCCGGGGATTCTGATTATCTTTAATCTGATCTAGACAGAGTTAACTCTTGGTGTGAAAGAAATCACCTCTCTTTAAATACTGAGAAATATTCTCATATGGTTTATTCTAGAAAGTCGAATATAAATAGTAAGCACATCTTATACGAATGCAGGTACTAAACTGAAACTTGTAGATCAGGTCAAAAACATAAGGGGTTTATTTTGACTCAAAACTCACTTATAATACTCATATTAACTTCATTGTTGCAAATTCCTATTCCACGTGGTCTTTTGTGTGTCGTAACAGTTCTGATTTTTCCGACCCGTACACTCTTAAAAAACTTTATATTGCTTTTGTCAGGCCCCGTCTAGTAATGCCGCAATTATTTGGCGACCTTTTCATACGACGTATATAAACAGGATTGAACGTTTACAAAAGAATTTGATCAAGTCTGCGCTAAGGTATCGCAACTTTATGGAAACAATGCCTTCCTATAAAACACGTTGCTTACTTTTAAATCATGATTTGCTTGAAGATAGGAGAAAATGCCTGTCCTGCTCGTTTATCTTGAATGTTATAAATAACTAATATATGCTTTGAATGTACCTATTAGGCGGGCCCTCAAGGAAATAAATCAAATAAATCAAATGGTGAAATGAGTCTGTGACTTCCTGGAGTTGTTTTAAAAAGCATAGTCTCGAATTACTTTAATTCATTAATTAGTTGATCACTAACTTAAATTGAAGTTGCGTTTTTAAGCTTAGTCAGTAAGAAACTATGTATAATTTGACTGAAATAGAAATAAATAAATGTGCTGATATCTTTATTGAAGAGAAGCGTAAGACAGAAGCAGTTAGATTTTGCGCGAATGCGTACATCCATACATACCGAAACTCGTTTGCTTCTGAACAAAATTTGGCGGTAACTCGTTTCAAAATACATGCATTATGGAGTTTACTACGTTTGCGAAACTATTAAGGACTTCAAAGTATAAACGTACTTACATATTTACCTCCTTCATTATATAATAATAATAGAATAGCGCTTACAAAATATATTAAAGTTTGCCCGAGCTTCTAATGGCGATTTGTGACGTGCGCCTTTATGTTGTCACACAAAGGTTAGAGACCAACAGTTTCACACCGACTACGATCGCCGATGGTAATTTTATGAGAAGCTGTTCTTTCATTGCAGAATACACTCGAAGGTTTTCCATTGCCTGCCGAGGGGCGACCGCTATTAGAAAATACTTTTTTATGTTTTTATTTTTTGATGTCGTCTTCTAATTTCTAGAGGCGACTTGCTGTTATATGAGTTTTAAAAATATAGAATGGTTTCGATCTATTGATTTTTTCCCCAAATATAAGCATGTACTACAATGTATGTACGTATTTGTGTTTACTTGCTTATGTAAATATACATATTTGTTCTGCATAACAAATGCTGACGCACTAAATACTAGATAAAACATACTAAAAATTTGGCAGATAAATTCTGTCATTAGTTTTCAGCAAAGACATTTGTGCATACATATATTTGACATGTACTAATGGAGAGTTCGCCACTCAATGAGACAATGAACAATTATAAAATATTTATATGTACATACTGTACTCACGTGCTCACATTTCGTCATCGATGGGTTAACATTGTTGGCATGCTAGCCGGCTAGGTAAACTAATAGCCTATGGCCGAGATGTCTTTGTCATAGTCACAGTCAAATAGTCAGCAGAAGCAGCTCTTATATGTACATATTTACTTCACAGCTGCGATGCTTCAGCCAACATTGACGCCGACTAAACTATTCTATCTTAAAGCTCAATTAGTCTAGACTTAATTTACGTAAGTTAACTTAACATAATCTTTTATTGTGGCCAACTTGCTATGTGAAAAACTGTGTTATGTACTGGTCAGATAAAACAGTAAAAAACTTAAAAACCTATAGATTTTAGATTCTTAAACAACGGCCTTGCATAAATTGAGAGCGGCGAGAGAGTCAGGTTTGCCAGATTTTCGTTTCTGCAGCTTTTAGAAGTTAATGTATGTAAGCAACCATTTGTTTTCGTAACCGCCGCGGTGGATTAGTTAGGGGAGCGCTCTATCACTCGGGAGGTCCGGGGTTGGATGCCTAATCTGAGCAATATATAAAAAAAAAAAAATTTTCTAGTAGCTGCTGCCCCTGGCCAAGCAATGGCCAACCACCAAGTGGTGTATTTCTGCCGTGAAAAAAGCATCACATTGAAATCATTTGCCGCTCTGAGGCGGCCTAAAATTGCAGGTCCCTCCCCATTGTTTTAGGCGGCGAACAGTCAAACAGCTAAAAAAATGATACAAAAAAAACTATTTTTCATCTGGCTTAAATTGTGTTGAGTAATAATTTCTAACGCAAAGTTAAGTTAAACTAAGTCTAGGCTAACTGAGCTATTAGCATACTTGACTGCATTCATATGTATGTCTGTACGTATGTATTTATTGCCCCAGTCATTTTATGCGTCAGCAGCGCTGCCTCATTTATCAGCCGAGCCCATAAATCACCGAAAAGGCGAGAAAGCACCCGCAACAAGTTCATAACGCTGATACTCGCTTATTATTACGGTTGGATCGATCCGTTCGCTGCGACGTGTTGTCTGTTGTTTGAGTCGTGCATTGCTGGACGGACGTGTTTTCGGTGTTATTCCGCGTACTATTGACGGTTGTGTTTCGATAATAGTAAATATATGATACATACATCCATCGAAACGGGGGTGTTTTACCGTTTTTGAATAGTCTCCCGTTGTTGTCAGTGTGTTGGTTTGCTTTCTTTTTTGCGTGCGTTATTTTTCACCTGTTTGGCAGTTAAATTGTTGTTTTGTTTCCTTTGTGGCGTGGCGTGCCAGTATCCTTACTCCGCGAATATTCGAACAAGCGTACATTTACCCTCTTATAAATCGATCTATGTAACTCTGGTCATAAGCAATAACCGCCTAAGTCGACTTAAGAAAAAATTGAGTTATATATGCTATCGCTTTCTCAAACTACTATTACATGTGTATCTGAAGCTCCCATCTCGTTAGCTAGGCTATTTAAAAAGTTATAGATGAAAATATTTTGGTTTCCCCAGAAGTTTAACATTACAATCCAAATCTTAAAAGCGTTTTTTCTCGACTTCAGTTTTTTCCACTTAGGCGTTTATTGCTTATGACCACAGATATGTAGATGCTTTATGTGTTTAACTACATACATAAAGGTGTATGTAGGTACCTGTGTCATTACGAGTGTCCTTCCTTTTGTTGTGTTTGTGTTTTTGCTTAATTACTAATTAATACTAATT